TATATATATATATATATATATATTTATTTATTTATTTATTTATATATATAATATTTGCTTGAAATCCCTAACGATAATTTCCTTAGACTGCCAACATAGGAAGCCTGCAGTTTCAATCGTTTTCCTAGCTTGATCCCCCTACATACTTATCTAAATTTCCGCAACAAACTAAGGAAAGTGGCACTGAGGATAATCTTTAAAAGAAAAATAATTTACCAGGCGTATAAATGTAATCCACAGATCCACCACAGAGAGGCCTAGATGGAGTCCGGACTATAGGTAGTAATGGCCTGTTTGTTACTGAGACATGTGTAACACAACTCCGCTCACCATTTTTCTGAAAACTCTAACTTAATTTAAAAAATTTGAAAAGTGTTAGAAATATATATTTTTTCCAATGAAACAGAATTATTATTAAATTTCTAGACCGTACATATGAAAGAATATATATATACTACCTCCAATGCTATTTATACGGAAAAAAAATCAATACATGAAACTCACATTAACGATTTTCAAACGCTGCTTCTCTGGAATTTTGGAGTGTTGTCGAAAAGTTACCATTACAGACTGATATTGCCTAGCCTGTAACTATTTTGCATGAATCGAAACACATACTAATGACAAAACGCAACAAACAAAGAGGATATACCTCAGGATCGATCCTTGGATCATATCCAAAACGACACCATAAACGTCCCCATGGCCCATTTAATATATAAAATGCATACTTTTGCAACAAAGTCCTAAAAAAGATGCGAGTGGCTATAAAAACTGATCACATAATGAGCATCCTCCCAACTTTTACCAAAGAGAAGCTACATTGTCATTAATATTATCCAAATGGCATTTTCGCTATACTAAATCGTAAATGGTACACATACTTAATCAAATTATCTTCGAGCCCCGTTTTCTTGGCAATACCGACCCTCGTCCACAAAGGTCGATTTTCAAATAACTTTTGCATTAAACAATGAGGCTCCAAGTTCTTACATCTGTAAATATTTCTATTTTAAAATACTTGTATACTGTAGAACTAGAACACACTGTGTCACCACCTTTGAAGAAACATTTATTTGACAGGAAAATTCGACGTGCTAACTACATACATTAAGAATAATACGAGCAAAATACAAAATGAATCCAATACGAATTAAATCCTTTTTAATTCATAAAAGACAGAACCTGAATATGGCATGTAATCAATAATCATTCATAAATTTAGAATCTACCATCCAAATATACCTTGAAAAATTAAATAGAAAAAATAAAAATACTGGAAGCAGTATTATTGTCCTTTTAAGCACTTTAAAAAAATTAGAAAACCTCATATTTGCATCATTGACTGCCTCTTCAGAAGGCTGTTGTGGGAACTCTGCAGTGGTATAAACCGTTCGTGTCAAGGATTTTCTTTCTGATCGCAAACCTGCAAGTCCACCGAATTAAATGCAAAAAGTTGTGCATTTTTTTGAAATTCAAATATTTATGCAGCAATTTACAGATAACAACTATTCTCATTGCTGGGCTTGCCTGCAATAGGTTAAAAATGAAAGTGGTAGTAAGCATTACTAGTTATAAGTAATCTAATGAAATGGAAATTATAACTCTTCTCAAGCTTTGGTCGGAACATGTCTCGTCCTCAAACTATTAGCTACTACACAATATAAATCATAAAAATGTATCAAAATCTGATGAATACAAAGAAAAGTAATGCCATAAAAAGATCAAATTTTTACAAACTTTGTCCATGTCCAGTGCATTTTGCTTTCAATTTCTCTGCAGATAATTGTCTTTCTTTACATAACAATTTTGTTGATGGTACTGCATACCTGAAAGCACGTATCTCTAGACTTGAGAATATATATATATATATATATCAATACTTCACGATAAAGAATGAGAACACATTATGAAACATACCTCAATTATTCAAATGTCATTTAATATATTACATAACGAAAATACCTAGAAAACTGATAAGGAGGAAGATGAAAACGAGTTCGAACACCGATGTCGGGATAGTTCCACCATGATAAACCTGCACAAAGATCCAACGGAATTAATTTTGGAACCTAAAAATTAAGATTGATAAGCACGTAAAACAAAAAAATTAGTTATTATGAATGCTTTATGAAAAAGTTGATACAAAATGATTCGCACAATAGTTTCACCACATCTTTCAGCATTACTTTGGGTCACATGACGACCAACGAAATACGATTAAAACTTGCTATCACAGTTAATGAAAGTTTTAAAAAAATTAAAACCAACAAGAAACGAAAAACATTTAGCAACTAGTATAGTAAAACACAGAAAGTTTCTTGACTAAAAAGACATGAAACGTTACTGACAACATGCTGAACTTAGAAAAACCTCACTAAATCTTCAAATGAATCAGGATGCGCTTCGCTCTTGCGAATGGGCAAATACTGGAAATCCGAGAGACCTTTGAAAGAATAAACTGTCGAAACCTACAAGAGCAAATAAAAAAGATGGAAATGGCTGTGATTTTAATTCCTCATTTTATGATTTATTAGGCTCAGTATGCACAATTCACATTGAACGTCTCATAAATTAAACACACTTATGAACTCATGAATGAGCGGCCTTAGCAAGTATTTCAAAAAATCAGCTTATAAAGTTTAAGATAAACCTAAACCATTGATTACAAACTACCATTCCAATGATTTGTGCTTCCCTACAGTTCATTTCCGATTTTTTGCGGCGCATTTTGGCAATGGCCAGTATTGTCGATGTACCTAAATTTGACGTTCCAGGGGATCCTCGATCTGACACCATGCGATTTGCATATAAATTGTTAGGACGATATCTTAAATCAAGAGATCGGCCATCGAAATGATTCTGTAACACAAATGATGGGAATCTTTGAAATCCAGCAGAGGCAGAATAAAAAAATCTATATAAAATAAGTAAAACATATCCCACATAGCTATTTCGTTCGACACTTTCAATCTTCAATTTCGTTCCTAATGTCCCACATTCATTTAACTATGTCATTCATGTCATTAAGAATTTCGATTGAAGAGTTCATTATATTTAATAATCAGAGTAATTTCTATCTCACATTAATACCACACCTGTTTGAAGAAATAACAAACCAAACTTAATTTGAAAATAAAAAATATGTTGACTACAATGTAACGCCTTAATGCTATAATTAAAGCAATATAGCTTAATTAAAATGTGTCATCTACTTTACGCACAGAACGTATGTGAGACAGTTAAACCGGAAATGATGGCCGAGAGTGACAGGTGTGAATGATACTTGTTAAAAATATATGTAGGAAAATTAAAATTCTGTAATGCAGTACAAATATCCAATTTATGAGTAATCAAATTATACGAACAGCTGAGATGTTCCGCTCGCCACCCAATGACCGTATCGCTGCATCAGCGCTTTTCACCACTCCTGGATACATCACTAGTACGTATTCCGGCAGCTTTTGTTTACGTTCCTTGTCAGAAGTAAGCAAAGTTGGCATATCCTTTAAAAATATTAAAAATGCAGAACATAATTAGACTACTAGTACGTATTTAATTTAGATTAGCAGCATTTTGCAGGGATGAAGTGAAAATCGTACCGTTAGAGTAAAGTTTTGACTATTTATGGAGAAAACAACACTAACTACATGCTTTCTATTGCACTAAAAATAAATTATATTTAGTACAATGAAAAATAGAAATTGAATGGATTTAAAATCTTCAAAAGTATACTCAAACTTCATCTGTCTTACCGAGTTGACCAATCTCCCTCTCTTCTTCATTGTCCTTGCACTTACACTGATGACTTCGAATAAAACATCAATAGTTTGCAAGCTTTTGATAAAATTGCATGCAATCTGTTGCATTGAATAAGTATGCAACGATTTTTGGTTTCTGTTATATATCATAGAATGTACATGGAGGTACTGTGGAATTTTCGGGAGGTGACGTATGTTAAGAGATAATTCTCATAATATGTAACTAGTGGAATTTCGAATGATTAGAAACTATTAAAAACTGGTAATATTAACATTATTATAGTTAAGCATAAGAAATAAGCATCGAAAGCATACCAGGAAAGCATACGTGTCACAAATAATCAGATGGAAACTCTTCACCGTATTTGACTTTTTGTTCGTGAATAGTTCTGAATTGTATTTGTCCTTTTTCTTGTTGGTTTATTTCTTTATATCGTTACTGATTATTTGTATTCTCGATTCTTTAATCCAAGCTTTGGATATTTTATTGTCTGGCGCGCGAAAACATGGGAGAAAGCAGCGTAGTAAGTGCGGAAATTAGACCAGTAGACGAAGACAGCGAAAGTAACAGCCCTTCATTTATTTTTTCTGTATAATCTTTTTCATTTTCTGTAGTTTCGTTGTGGAATATGAAAAATCGTTTGTGGATCGGAGCCTTTATTTTATCATTTACAAATAAAGCACGGAATATTACTTTTTGTGCCATGCTTATTGGTTGAAATTTGAAATTTTTGATAATGTTTGGTGTGATAGGAGTGAAATTTTCAGCAATGCGTCATTTATAATTACCATTGCTTTCAATTCTATTAACCCTTTCAAATTGTTCTGGTCTTCAGTTCTGGGTCATGAGATGATATTCGACCCAAATGTGTTAAATCTCGTTCTTGCTCGAAGGCAGTTACCAAAAGCACCTCGAGGATATCTCTTGCGACCGTTGATGCTATCGGATCACAAGCATGGTTATTTAAAGTTATTGTCGCAGCTTACAGTTGTTGGTAAAGTTACCGAGGAAATGTTCTCTCATCGGCAAGTTGACAGATTGATTTGTGAATTTAAATGATTTCGATTTCATTTCATTATTTGTGGCTTGGGTTTATTGTCTTTGAGAATGCGTTCTATTCTATGTAAAAAACTTTTTTAGCAGTGCTTTGTGTCTATCATGAAATGTATTTAGATTTCATTTAATGCGCAACACTTTCCCAATCACGTATTACGTCGTCGTTATCGAACATGAAGAGTAAGTTTTTAAACTTTTGTAATTGTTAATTGCTGCACCATCATGAAATAATAAGATATACATTTGTAGATGTTGATTGCATTACTGGTATTTTATTCATAAACATTCATATCGATCTTTTGTTTTTGAGAAGCAGTAACTGTTTAAATTTACCATGTATTACTTAGATTCCTTGAACACATTGGTTTGTATTCACTTAAGAAATTAAAGCTGTTCTCATAAATCACTGCACAATTTTTTTTTTTTTAAATCTGACAATGCAAATATTGTTAGCCGCTTTAAGCATAATAATTTGTCACATGTGGTTCTGTATCAATCAAAGTTTCTTTGTCTCGAACTTATCAAAAATTCAATTACAACTTTAAGTTATGTATTCTAGAACAAAATGTGTGGTGGCAACAGCTACACTTGTGCTTGAATGGAAATTTATTCATGAAGCCGGATGTCGTGGCCGCATTGAAGACGTTGTTGTAGATGTGAACGCTCGTAGACAGAGTTTGGCGACGTTACTTATTTTACATTTGGTGACACTAGCAAGACATCTTGGTGTGTACAAATTGTCACTGGAGTGTAAAAAGGAATTAATATCGTTTTATGAACGATTTGGGTTTCAAAGAGACGATAATAATTTTCTTGTGATAAACTTTTAAGTATATTTTAAGTTGATAATGGTGGATTTAAATAAATTGAGCTTCACCAGAAATATAATTAATTTTTCATCCTTCTCTACAAATTCTTCTTGCGTAAAACCAAAATTATTGCTAGAACTTTCTCATTGGTTAGCCAGGATGTGTCATAATGATGGCTTAAAAACAGTACTCATATAGAACATGAAATCTGATATAGATATGATAATTTTATTTATTTATGTATGTATGTATGTATTTATTTATTTATTTATTTATAGTCACAAGATTTTCAAAAAATACCTGAAGAAAATTTGGTTTTTGCTCCTTGCTTCATTCGTAATATTTTCTTTCACAAATGAATTGTCATCTTCGGCCCTAGTTGTACTTCAACATTTTCCCATTTACTCCACGCTTCTAATATATGTCATGCAACATTTTATCTGTTGTTTTTTGTTTCACTGTTGGCCAATTCTGAGCTTACCTTATTTGATGTTTATGATGTGATTTGACTTATATTTGCATTAAATGTTTTGATCCCGTTATATCACTTGTGTTATTGGGTTTTCAAGACCAGAAAATTTTTAAATGAATTGTCTATCCAGCATAGATGCTTGTTTTTTTACGTTTGGTCTCTAGTGTAAAGTTATCACTTGGCTCACTTTTTCATCAAATTTGAAGATGAGTGCTTAGGATTTAGCTGAGTTAGATGTATGTAAACATGGTCATGAGTTATTCTAAATCAGTCCTTATTTTAGCTGGAAAGGGTGGTCCCATGAAATGTCGCATGTATCTTTTCTTGCATCTCTTGATTTCGGTTTGAATAGGCACGAAAAAAGTTGGATTTTTCATCAACTTCCAAAAGTAATTATTTTCATTTTTGGATTTCGCAGAATCACTATTTATTGAGTTATTCTACTACTAATTTTCATTCCACGTGCAAAGCAATTTCTGATGATATCCAATGTTATCAATCCAGAGGCCGATTTGATATTATTTGGAATTTCTTCTTTCAATTTTAACATTTGAGAAGGCAGCTGTAAAAATTGAACGTATGATGGCTAGTTAATAAGTTGTTACATGTAATACTGTAGCAGTGATGATTGAAAGATGTTTTAATGATAGGACAGATATCAGAAATTATCTTTAGGAAATTTAAAAGTAGTGCACGTCGAATATGGAAGTGAAATTCGGAATTAGTGATTATTGTCAAATGTTTTGATAATTAACTGCAGGACAATGCACAGCAGCAAATTTGTCTTGAAGTCTTGATGGGGTTTTTATGAAATTTCCCATCCGAATTTGAATTTGACGAGGGAAATAATTCTTATATACAGCATGAAGAAAACCGTTTATTTTGAAGTGAAAATCTGTGTGTTTGATTATTTTTGTTTTGCTTTAAAATCATATTTGCTGCATATGACGTCAACCTCAAGTGAATTAAATTTTTTAAAGGAAATTATCGATATACCTCGAGATCATTTACCAGATCCAGAAGCCGAGAATTTGCCGTCAAGCATCGGCTTCCCTCAGGTACTATTTAGTATTCCAGCTTCTTTTTTCGTACATTGTATTTTTCAACACTTTCATTCTCTTCGTTTCCTTTTAACTGTTTGCCAAGTCTTAAATGTCATTTTTGTAATATTTCAGGAGTCAACAGCTGATTTGGACAAACGTTGGTCAGATACTGGGATTGATCGTATCCCTTTAAAGTTTCAAAAGTTAAAACCCTTTTGAAAGTGTCTTACATTTAATTTAAACATGGGTAATGGACAAAGCAGCAAAAGTGCTAGCTCAACTTCAAATTCTTTTCTAGCTGGCAAAAAATCGAGTTCGACATCAAAAGGAAAAGTAATTATAGTAAGACAAGGAACTAACACAGAAAAGCAATTAAATGCCAGCAATGATGATGTATTAAAGCGGTTCTCAGTTAGTATCTATATCTATTGTAACATATGAATATATTGATTGAGTTTTTTGTATCTGTTTTTATCAATGAGAACGTAAAAATAGCATTTACAGTTACAAAGTGTTTCACCGAAGAAGTATTCATCTTTATTTTTTGAGGAAATTCCGAAATTTTATCCCATATTGAAAAGTGTGTTAAACCCGCCGGGTGTACGGGATCCGTCTGAAGCTGTATTCAGAATAAGCACTCGTCCAGTATTGATGTTTGCATACCGCTTACAGGAACATTTGTCCCAGTGTGCTAATGTTGTCGTTGTTCAGCAGGAATTGCTGGGAAATCTTATAAAAAGTGTTAGTGCATTATTGTTACTTGCTTTTTTTTTTCCGAAACATAGTTTGAAAACAGTTAAGTCGCTTTGTTATTTCTTAAGTGTTACAAATCAAAAACATTGCTCTGTCAGTGGATAGTCTTTTATCTCTTTCCGTATGGTGGCAGTTTTTTGTTTATCCATGGTGGGTAGTTTTTTAGCTTTACTTTTACGGTGGTTCATACGATTAAAGTAAAAGATTTTGGTAACTGCAAAATGTGATCAAGGTTTTTAGTCATATTAGTTCGCTACAAAACTGTCTTTATCCCTGCGATAGTCGAAAATGGACTTTGCTAAGGCTATGTCAAAATATATTTTGATTTTTCTGGTTGGAATGACGTTTTGTTATGCAGTATTTCTTTAAATCAAAATCCAATCGTCATGTTTTGCAGGTAGATCGTGATATTGCTCTTTCTGTATCACAGTGCAGTGATCGAAAAAAGATATTGGATCATTTTCAGAATTATTTAGATAAAATTGAAGATTTGCAAGCTCACGTGGCAAACATCCAGGTCAAGTACTCTAGTTATATTTTTGTTACGTTTTTTCAGTATTGATTGAAAAGTGAAGAAAATAAGGAATTTTCGTAATTGATAAGGTTCTAGTTATAGTATTTTTGTAATTAATACTTTCTAGTTTATACTTTTCACTTGTCCGAGTTTATTTTTATTTCTTATTACTAAAAATAAATATACAAAGAAGAGCATGAAATCTATATTGATATCACCAGAGAATAATCTGCAAAATTATGCCTGTTAATTTTCTGTACTTATTTATAATTAATTATGTATAGAGTCATTTATGTCATTTATGTTTTCAGTTTCTTTTTCAAGATTTGATGCCAATTGTACAAACAATGAATGAAATTTTGCCGCAGCAAAACCGATTACCGGTATTAAACATTGATCCTCTTCCAAGCAAAACAAACGGTGTAGCAAATGTGGAGAACAAGGAAGAGGTTTCTCGAGATCAAAGAAATTCAGTGGGCAATATTGAAATTGAGTTGCATAACAAAAAGCACTCATAGTTTCTTTGTATGTGAGGAATGTATGCTCATTCAAGTGATTGGCTCTTCAAGGTGTTTTGTTTTTCTGTATTTTTCAAATCCCTTGATTATTTTTCAAATCAAATTAAAGAAGAGATTACTGCGAAATGTTGTCACACTCATAAAATTGCTTTTCTGACAGTCGAAGTTGAGTTAAACCTTTTTGTCAAAGCTATAACATTTTTTAACTGTATACAACTGTATACATGCTCAAAATATGTGATCATATTATGACGTTTTGTTATTATGTGTGTATGTTATTCACCAAAATATTTTGATGAAAATTTGAATCGTTTTATCAATAAGATAGTAATTTTGAATGAATTGTAGTTTCTCGCCTTTAAAATTTATAGCCGTGGTTATTTCACTTATGGTGTCGTCTTTCATTAGTTAGATTTGATATTGTGTCCTGATTTTCATTTATCTGGTTTTCAGCCTGATTTCAGAATAAATAATCTCAGATACGAGTGGTCTGCTATTTGCTTTCATAAATAGTTTCTATTGTAATATTTATTTAGGCTCAGTGAGGTCAGGGTTCAGTAGTTCTAACATGGGAGAAGTTGTTTTTAATCAGGTTGAACAAATAATTGAGGTGTAGAGAGGTGATACTTTCAAGGCCAAAGCGATTTCGAGTCTTTTCGGAGTTAACAGTCAGCAGATTTCTTTTAATCTGCGAGAAGAGTATTTCTCGGTTTGGTTTATTTTACTGGGAACGAAATGGTTGAGTCTGTTATGAACTTGACTATGGCTGTTGATTTATCGAAGGTGAGTCTGTTGTGTTGTTTGCAACTTTAAGTTGATTTACTCTGCTGGCATTAAAAGCCTTCCTTCTTAATAGTAGTGAAAACTACATTTAATGAGAAATTTAAGGTGGAACCGCTAAATAAGAAACATATTGTTGCTTTTGTCAATCATTTTTTAATGAGGAATGTGGAACTACTGAACAGTTTTGTGTCTAATGCAGAAACAAGGATCATCGAACTGGAGAAACGTATGAGTCGAGTGGAAGTTGACCTGAAACTTCTGGAAGTTAGGGTAACTGTTGAATAAAGATTGCATAGGTTCTCATTTTCTTAAACTTTGTATATTTTCGTTCTTGCAGATTGACAGTATCTCGGGTTTACCACTGATTACTTCCAGCAAAGAAGAATCATCCGTGCCCACTAAAACTTCTGAAAATTTGGTCCCTAATAAAAACGTAGTTGAAGATGAATCAAAGGCACATTTTTCAGTTTATATTAAATACTTATGTTGAAATCAATCAAAGTTTCTTATCTTCAGCTGGAGATCTTGTTTCTTTATTAAAAAGAATATCTTACTTGCATGTTGTAGGAAAAAGCAAAATTGTTCCAAATTCCATTTAAATTTATGAAAATAATAGCGCACATTCGAATTCTGCTCTCTCTCTATTTCACTGTCCTTCAAAAACAGATTTTCAGCGCATGAAAAATGAGACAAAAGTAGCTGGTATGAATTCAAAGTTTATGACTGATGCAGATAAAATAGAAGTAGCAGATTCAAAAGAATCATCTGGAGATGCTAAACATTGTTTTCATGTTCGGGATGATCCTCGTTATGCTGTTTATTTCAAAATGCTTAGAATGGTTTGCTGTTTGTAATTATCTTTTTTAGTGATTTACTCACTTGATCAATATTGCTTTTCATCTTCATAAGATACTTGTATCTTTTTCTATCCATTTATTTTTATATTGCGTTTTCAATTTAAAGTGCCGTTTCGCGAGAGTTTAAGGATTAATCCTAACTTCAGTGATGCTATATAGAAATTTTTTCACAGCTGCTTGATGATTAAGGGTGTTCCTGAATGTGCAGTAAAGCAGAAAATGGTAAGCGAAGGAGTTGACCCTACTCTTCTTCAGTATGTTACTACCTTCCATTTTTTCTGTATATGTTAGGTACAAGAATGTACAACTTCAAAAATTTTTATATTTTAAGTATTGAATGAAAAAAAAAGAATTCAAAAGATGAAGTTATTCAATGTGCTAGCATATTTTTGCAATAATTTCCGTGGTTGCTGTCAGTGTTATAAGTTGTTCCTGTTAAATTTACAAACTGTGTTTTTACTATTTCGGCATATTTATTTGAGAATACTGCGAAGTTGCTTGGGATGGTTTAAGAAGCGAGTGACACTTTTTTATACTACCTTCATTAAATGAAAAGTTGGTGAATATATTTTCGTACATAGAATATAATCATTAACTATATTTCTGCTTGTTTGTTTTGAAATGATAACATATAAAAATTGTAGAACACCGGATGCAGTAACCGACGTGCCTCAGAATATGCCTACAGTTGAACAAGAAGTTGAAGATGATCACAATTCTACATCGTCCTTGAGTGATGATTGATCGAAATGGACACTTCTGCTTTTGAAAATGATGGAATCTAGGAAATAAGAGATACTAATGTGATTCTTCCCATTTACTGGATAAGCAAATACATGGTGAATATTGTACTGATCAGATCCTCACAGTTCAAACATTTGAATCTGTACTATAGCTATTCGCCACTGGCATTAAAATACGAGATCAGTCGAATGTCAGTAGAATGTTATGTGATCTTTTTTAATAAGCAAAGAATGCTTTTAAATTAACAGGCTCTTAATTAGTCTAAAATTATTCCTTCTGTTTGTTACTCATTTTTTATTAGTTCTGTTTTTCCTTTATAATTTACAAGTTGTGCAAGCAGAATTCCTACTTGTACTTCTAGTCTGATAGAACTTGTAGAACTATTTTCATGATACTTTCATTAATTGAGGCGGTATACCATGAACGGCAATCGGGTTTTCAGTTGTCGTAAGAATAATTATATTCAAATTTGAATTTGGTGGTAATAATGGACTATTTGAGATGGGTTCAGTTCTGAATGATCTTCCAATAGCCATAGGTTTATAAAATCGTTAACAGTTTATTAAGATCAGCGTAGCGTGTTAAATTGCGCAAATTCATTGCCAAATCTTCCGTTATGTCTTGCAACGTTGTTTACGATGCTTAGTTCCAAAGAAGTCTTTGCACTAAATTTGTAACACTTATTAGTTCCATGTTGGATGGGACTGGTACACAGCATATAATCGGTTCATTGAATTAGTTATTCCACTGAATCAGCAAAATTGGTAAGTGGGGTCTTGAAATAATCAGATTAAGGGATCAGCAACAGAACTGATTGTACACATTTTCCTTTGATTTCAAAAATTAAGGCTGTCAAAAAAACTTTTATTACTGGTACAGTTGTAGACTAGTCTGAGGGGCATTACTCGTGTTCAGTTTGACCAACAATTAAACAAGATAGATCTGAGATCATGAGATAATAATGCCTCTACCTGAAGTAATAGAAGTAGGATAATACAGGAGTCATTGCAGAAGGGCTGTGTAGGAACTGTAATAGAAATTGCAAAAAAGTCATAGTCTAAATATTTTAAAATCTTGGTATGGAAGCATTCAAGAACCAGAACTTTTGAGGTAATGATGAAGTATGTAAGGACCACAGCAAAGTAATTCTCTAGAAATAATTGTGTAAAAATCCTCCATATCTATTGAAAAAAAATTCTGCAAGGTCAACTTCTAAAAGTGGTCTAACAGAAACTACATGAGAATATTTATTTGAAGAAAGTAGAGAGCAATTTTTTTAGCAAACTGTTTATGAATGATCTCTTACAGAGATATTTTAAAAATGACTGAAGAAAAATGTTTACTCCCTGTGGTCGGACAAATTACTTATAAATGACGTAAAAGAGGCGACTTCAAAGTTGCGATCAGGTTTATTGCTTGAAAAGTCCGCGCTCAATCTGTTAAGATTTTTTGATCGCTGCAGAAAGATCCCCCAAAACTACTGTAAGCAGATCTATTACAACAAATAATGTTAAAAAATCTGCGTCAAAAATGACTAAAAGAATTTCGACGATGAAAGTTCCGTCAGAGTTGCTTCTAGAGAGTCTTGATACACCAGAAAAACCAGGAACCTTGGTCACGAATTACTGCATGCAGCTAAATTCTTAGCTTTGAATTTAAGTTCTGCACTAATCTGATTTTGCCACTCAATTTTGAGGCCTTAGTTCTTTTGGTTCTAAAGAATAAGCTAAGTTCACACCACCATAAATAAATTTATGGCAGAGACTAGGTCCACCCCTTCCGTTCAGTCTCACAAACAAGTAACTCTGGTGACAGACACATTCAATACTTGCTTTGGCTCAATATTTGTTCTTTGGTTATATTTTTAATATTAGTATACAATGTCTTTTGCAGAAAATAACTGCATTTTGATATTTTATTTGGTGGAAACACATAATTCGTGTATTATGTAACATTATATACAAAATATACAATGAAATACATACATGAGAATAAAACATGCACGAGTAATCCATAACAGAACATCATGTAAACTAAAATATATACACTAAATATGAATTCTTAATATTTAATATAAAAACAATGAAAAAGATAATAACAATCAGAATCAATATGCAATAATAATAGAAGGGCTCACCTAAAATAATGACATAAATACTTTGCTGCCCCTCTCTAATTCATGATACTTACTTGACACCATCGACATGGCAAATTATTTAGAAGCAACAAAGCAGATTGGTAAACAAGGTAAATAAGTGATATAAACAATAAATAAAAACTACTTAAATTACAATATTTAATGTAATAAGGTGAAATTTATGAAGAAAAATTACAGTTCTGCCATCAGTTTAGACAATTAAAAATAAAGTAAAATCCCATTTTCCTTCGCATATTCTCTCCGCTTGTTTCTGAGTCGCCGACACCAAGAAACTGCGTAGCTCCAGTTTGTCCAGCTAATCTTCTTTATGTAGACCAAATTTTCCATACAAGATTCACTAAGTGAAGCACGAGAAAGACCCTTGTTTTACTTCGGCTTGTGTCCTTTCTTTTTAAAGGATCTGTAATCCTTATCAGTTAAATATATTTCACAAAACAGTAAAAAATAACTATTACAAATTTCAAACCTGTGAATACTGTTTCAAAACAGTTTCACATACGGTCAGAAGTGTAAACCTTTTCAGCAGTAATGCCATTTGTGTCTCCAGTTACAAATTTTGCTTAGAATTCATTCAGGAAAAATATTACTTATAGCTTATCAAGATAAGATTAACTCACTGACACATCTTCAAACCTTTTGTCAAAAAAATTAAACTTACAGTAACAGTACAACCTAAAGACAACAAAATCAAAAACTGATAAATCATAATATATTCTCAAATTAGCACGTGCGTGCACAATAGAAAGGTTCCATTTTCACTACTTGGAGCACTTTTTGTCCGAAAAATAATCCAAAATTTGTTGAAAATAAAAGAAATATAATGCAACTTATTCATCACAACCAACTCGAGGAACTTACTAAGTGGTTTGCATCAATGCAGACTGATAAATACAGTACAGGCTGTCTCTTCCACAATCTATTTAAAGTGCGATATTGAGCCTTCTTTATCAGGCCCAAACATAGAGAGTCATCGAACATCCTCTTAACTGCCTTTGAGTCGCCTCAATATCTGCTCTTTTCTTTTGCAGAAATTGACAGCTGTAAATATAAGAAACCCTGTATGCCAAATTTAGATAATTTCTGTTACTCTATATCAGGCAACAACACAAAATCCTCTCTCACATAAAAGCATTCGTAATGACGACAATGTACTATACTAATTAAAATGAAATAATATCTTACCGAACTGCGCAGTCAAGGTTTCATAAACATTACTCATGTATGAGAATCATGAGTATCATGATAGGAATATGAGATGAGGTTTCCCCAATAACTGACCAAGAGGAGAGGCAGTGCTACGGATAAATACCTGCAACGAGATAAAACTACAAAATAAATACAGATTGACTTTTATAAACGCTCGTAAGCTTTTCCGACTTATTGCCTTTTTCTCTAATTTATATACTTTCTCACGTTCTCTCTTTTTGAGCACTTTTCTTTTACCACTTTATTTCTTTCACTCTTTTACAACAACTGATAACACAGATAGTTGCAAAGTGTTGTTAAACCGCATAAAATTTTTGAATATGTTCATCGTGTTTGTAGCCAAAGCATTTTGGAGTAGAAATTTCTAAATGCAGTAGTTTGTCTATTCTATACATGGGGATTATTGCTCATTTTGTATTTGTAAGTCACGATATAAATGTTACTATTATTTTTGGTTCATGCAGCTTGTTCACAAAATTAAGAAATCTGTAGCTAGTTTCCAACGACTGCACCAAATGTTTGGTGTATCAAGTCAAAAGATAGAAAATGCCGAGAATGATTGGGTACCAGGAGAGAAGTATGTATTATTCTATGATTTTTTTATTCCGTACTCACCAATTGGTGCTTAATTCAAACGAGATCACCTAATTGTAGACTATTTCCAGAGTGCCATATATATGCTTATCCAAAACATTTGAGAATATTGAAGCAACATCATCTCGGTACTTTTCTCATTTCAAACATACATTTGATGTTTTTTATTTATTTCTTCTAGACTGACGTTTTGGTAGTCGCTCTAATGGTGGGCTCTTTGGAAGAGAGTTTTATGATAAAGTGCTCATTTGAAATGTCGGTCTGTAAATTGTGATTTTTATCCAGTTCGTCATACATACTTTAGTTATAGATGTCTTTCATTTCTGTTGGGATTTGATCCTCATCCATTTTTTTAGATTAGAAATAATCAAAATATTGGCAGACTTTTTCGGTAGGGTTCTGAGAAAGTCGCCAACAGAATTAACGACATGTGTTTATCTGTGTGTTAATCGTCTTGGTCCTTCATATGAAGGGGTGGAATTAGGCATAGCTGAAGGAACTTTAATGAAAGCGATTGCACAAGCAACGGGTCGGAAGGTACTTAGGCTTATTGTGTTTTCACATAATCATTTTCATATTATGTTTTCATATTATTATTACTATATATATATATATTGCATCTTATTTACCTAGAAAAATTTCCTTTTAGATTGATAAACTGAAGGAGGATTTGAATCGGAAAGGAGATTTAGGTTTGGTTGCACAGATGAGCCGGTCAAACCAGTATAGGTTGTTTACTCCAGCACCTCTCACAGTTAATTCGGTTTTCCATAAATTACAAGATGCCGCTAAAGCTTCCGGAACTGCGGTTAGACTCAAATTAAGCGCTAAAAGTAGTGTATTCTAAAAACGTTGGTCCTTTAGTGCTTGTAACTGCCGTCAGTGAAGGTTGACAGCTTCATCTCTGAAATTTTTCGTTTAATATTTGCTTCATTGTTTCATCCTAAATATCTTTTTAAGTTTAATTTTTATTAAATGAATATTTGAGTGCTGTCAACACTCAAAACAGCATTTTGCACTGAAAAGGAATTGCTTACTCTTTTTGTGTTAAATTTGAATTTTAATAATGAAGCAACGTGAAGTATGAAGTTGATAATGATCAAACTGTACACTTGACATCTTTTTTAAAGATAAGACTGTAATGAGGCACGATTTTTTTTCGTGTGAAATGCTATTTGTAGTTATCATTATATTTTTCTTGTGTTTGTATCTCTGTTTTCAGGCAATGAGCAAGAAACTTGACATTATAAAGTCTCTTGTAGTGGCCTGTCGTGAATGTGAAGCTCGATACCTTGTTAGAAGTTTGAGTGGCAAACTGCGAATTGGTCTAGCTGAGCAATCTGTACTTGTAGCTATTGCCAACGCCTTTACTAAATTTGAAGTTGAAGGAAAAGGTTTTTTTTCCATGATCACATTCTGTTGAATCTACACGGTCGTTTTTGTTGGCACGTTTGTGAATAAGTTACTGCTTGTGATAAATATTGTTCAAAAGTGTTACTGGAAACTTTATTGCAGCTTATGTTTTGTTCTTTAAACAAAGACAAAGAGCAAAACATGAACTGCAATAAAGTTACCAGTAACACTTTTGAACAGTATCTAGCATAAGCAGTAACTATTGAATTAACTTGATTGTTTGAGTACTACGTAGATGCATAGGTCTATTAATGGAAAACTTAAAATTTAATGTACTTGAAATGATGAAAAAAGAATGTGGTTTAAAGCTGTCAGAGTCAGTTTTATGGTAAATACTATTCTCAAAATGTATCTGTTGGCAATCAGAGCCTCAGACATGAAAGTAATGTAATTAATTGAAAAATATGTCTTCTTTTTTGATTTCACAGAAGAGCAAAGCCAGAAAATGTTACAGATGAAAAATACTATCATATTAGCTTTCTCAACTCTAGTTCTTGTATCATGGACTTTGTTTTGCTGTTCTAGTTATTGTAGCAGATTTCTTTGGGATTGCTTTTGAATTGGAAATGCATTAAGAATTTAACAAAATCTAAATTCGTAGCTGTGTTTTTAATATCTCTGCTTCTTTGAGGTCAGAAATTGAACAGCGAAGAAATGAAGGAACGACTTGCTGGAGATGCTTTAGTGGTCAAAAGTGCTTATAGGTAGGTATAATATCTAAGATTGTTACTATAAAGTAATTTGTTCGCTAGTATGTGGCCTGTTTTTCAGTGAGTGCCCGAATTATGGTAAAATTATAGAAACGCTTCTGGCTGAAGGTGTTTCGCAACTAGCTGAAAGGTGCAAAGTTACTCCTGGTTTGTAATTATGATATCATTTGTGAGCATTGCATTATTCTAAGAAGTAATTTACATAGTGTAAAATCACATAGGTGTTTGGACTTATTCATTATGTTGGTAGAAGTCCAAAATATATGTTTTTCTTCTGACAATATTTTTTAATTTGGTTGTATGAATTCTTTTTATCATTCCTCAAAATTTAGGTATACCTATAAAGCCGATGTTAGCACACCCCACTAAAGGAGTTACTGAAGTATTTAAACGATTTAGTGATTCTCTTTTCGCTTGCGAATTCAAGTATGACGGAGAAAGAGCTCAAGTAATATGCATTTGGCTGTATAAAATTGAACTTCTAACTTATTTTTCCTAGTATGCGAATATTTTGAAAGCCAAGTGATGAATAATATTTGGAATTATATCATCAATAACTATGCTGTTAATATTTCCTTTGCAGATACACTACGATTCGTCGGGTGTTAAAATCTTCAGTCGAAATCAAGAAAACAATACTGACAAATATCCTGATTTGATAAAACATTTGGAGCAAATTAGAGATGATGAAACGACAACATTTATTA